TGTCCACCCGTTGCCTGGGTTTTGTTGGGAATATCCTTTTGGGACCTTGTAGTTGTAAAATAGAAGTGGCCTCTGAAGCTCGAGGGTACTGAATAGTGACAGCTGCCTGCCTGGGGGAAGATTTCTGTCTAGATCTACTGTCCCCCTACCCCCAAGCCACCGGAAAGTCGAAGTGGCTTAGCTACGAGGTGAGACAGGCTCCAGTTCCAATCCCAGTTCCATCCAGGACTCACTGGGTTTCAAACCAACCTAAGACAATCCGATGTTAACAATGACTGGGTTTCTGGAGAGCGTGTGGCTTACAGATCACCCCTGTTAAACAGACCTGGCCTCCCCAGGGCATCTTCTAGTGGTGAAGGGCAGTCAGAACTCAGAACCCAGCGCAGGCTGCTTCAACAGCAGCTGCTCCAGGCCCTTCTTTGGGGCAGGTAGAAAGGGGGCAGGATTCTCCTGATTTTTAAAGTTCAGATGCTGCCTAACCTCTGCTAGGCAAGTACACAGAGGTAGACAGTAGTCACTCAATAAATGCAAATGATTGGGCTTTGAGGATGGTTCTTCTATGAAGCTCAGGCTGGGGAGGGTTAAGAGTCTGGTGTGTGTGTGTGTGTGTATGGGGGGGGATGCCCCAGAAAAGGGGAGGTCCTGGCTGCTACCTCCCCCAGAGGACAATTTTAGCTTCCTAATTACAGGTGACATGAGTGTCCCTCTCTCAAAATAGGACTGGAAACTGGCTTGAGGGGGGGCTGAGTAAGCACATAGGGGAAGTTAGTATAGGGCCTCCCCAGGTGGGCTCAGGGGTCTGGGGTTTCCCCAGCCATGATTTATCTGGCAAATAAGGAAGAAAAGTTTGTCTTATTTAGTTAGAAGGTAGACTGCAAGGTGAACTGAAGTTATATGTTGGAATTATGGTGCTATTCTCTTTGCTCTCTAATTGAAGAATCGGGGAAACAGAAGCACAGGGAGGGAGCCTAGGGCTGTGTCCAACACCCTCTCCCCCAGCCCTCCCCCTGCCCACCTACCTGCCGGTTCTCGCAGGCCCTGAGAGCCTCCTCCAACTCGCTGCGGACACCCTCCGCCTGCGCCAGCTGCCTGGCCAGGGTCTCCTCGCGCCGGGCGGCCTCTGCCAGCCGGCGCCGCAGCTCCTCGACTTCGGGTGCGGGGCCCTGGGGGGGCGCTGTGGCGTTGAATCCCGGCTCCGGGCAGCGGGGCCCCCGGGCAGCGGAGGCCGCCAGATTCCACGCTACCAGGGCCCCACCGGCCGCCGCCGCCGCCAAGAACACGGCGACCCCGCACAGGGCCAGCACCCGCCACGCGCGCCCGGGCTCCGGCCCCGGTTCGGCCATGCCGCTGTCCCCAGCTCTAGTCCCAGACGGCCACGAGCATTTAATTGGCACCTTGAGGCGCCAGGGACACCCACGGTTCCGCCCCACCCTGTGGCTTCCCGTGTCCTACGGGAGGGGTTGGACCCCCTCCAGGGGTCAACCCATGCTGAAGGTCACAAGAAAGGGCCTGGGTACAAGTCCTGCCTCTGCGTCCCACGAGCTCCCCTCTGGGCCTCGGTTTCCCTCTCTATGCAATGGGGACAGCAGTAGCCTCGGGCTCGGTGGGAGTCGGGAGCACATCTGCGGGAAGCTCCAAAGACCGCACCTGCGAAGTAGGGCCGTGGGGAGGGTCTGGGGGCTGCTGTCCACATTCTGTCCGTGGGAGACGGTAGGTTTCTTGATTAACCGCTGGCAGCCCCTTCTGTGAACCGCCTCGAGGGCGGGAAGCGGGACCAGCGCATCTCCGCGCGTCTTCTCCACGTGGCCGCTAGGGGGCAATCTTACAACGGGAGTGCGATCCAGGCTGCTGCTGGCTCTTAGAACCCCATCCCTCTTCTCCCTTTTTCTCCACCCCCTCTTCTCTCCTGGCCAGCCCTCCTTCCTCTTCTATTTTCTTGTTCTCCTCTCCCCTTACCTCCATAAGGTCCTTATTTTGTTTTTGACATCGTTTCCTCTTTGTAGCACCTGCTCTCCTTCCTTAAAGCTCTTCTGCCAAAGGCATTCCACCCCAGGATCTTTGCACTGGCCATTTCCTCCACTACGGAACCCTCTCCTCTCTTTTTGCTTAAATGACTCCTCATGGATGGTGGCTTCCTCCAGGAACTCTGCTCTTCCACTAGCTCAGGTCCCCTTTTGACCAGCTCCCACCTTTATGTTTCTGATTTCTGGCTGCCTCCCCCATCAGACTGGGTTAGAGCCCCAAAAGCCAAGTGTACATTTGCCTTGTTCCCATCATACCCACACAGGTCTGGTGCATAGTAGGTGCACAATTATTGTGAGTTGAGCATGAATGTCTGTGTGTCCACTTCATTCCAGATGAAGAAACCAGAGCCCAGAGAGGCCGAGCCTCAGGCCAGAGACACACAGCAGCAGTTGGGCATAACCTGCAACTCCTAACTCTCAACCATTTCTCAGCCACTGGGTGGGGACGCCGCTTTGGAGTCAGGTCTCAGAGGTAGAGGACAAAAAATTAAGGGTAGAAAAGAATGGCTGGGGAGAAAAAGTTTATGCCTGGATCATTGTGTGCAGGTTTGGGGATCCCAGTGCTCCTATTGGGCAGATCTGCTCTCTCCATCCCCAAAACACAGCCCAGAAGTGGTGGGGAGGGGGAGCAGCAAGGCTGCCTTGGGGCTCTGCAGCGGCCCAAGTTGGGGGTGAGGGGCAGGGAGGGAGCAGGAAAAGGGAAGGGGCCACGCGGGAAGGTTTGCTTCCTGAGCAGAAGAAAAGTCACCAGAGGCGGAGGCTCATTTCTCCAACAGCGTGGAGACCCCGAGCGAGTCCAGTAAGTTCCCTGGACCCCAGTGTCCTCAGCCCCAAGGGGCTGTCGTGGGAGGAGGAATGACTCAGAGCTTGCAGAGGGGCACCCTGAACCCTTCCTGAGACCTTTGGCAAGCCCGGAGCAGAGGCAGAAAGGGGACAGGCAAGAGACCCCCTGTCACTGGATGGAGCATCCTGAGGAGGTCCCCCAAGGGAGGTGGACCTCTGCTCAGGCCATGAGGGTCCTGGATGCCATTGCATAAAGGGGCTGGGGATGTGGCTCCGTGGCAGAGCGCTCGCCGGGCATGTGTGAGGCCCTGGGCTCGATTCTCAGCACCACATGAAAACAAAGATAGTAAAAAAAGAAAAAAAAAGAATTTAAGGATGGGTCGAATGAGACAGAGATTGATCTTATGACCTGAGGCAGGAAGTCCACACTCTCGAGGGACGGCGCTGGAGACCGTCCTTGGCGCGTGCGGTCTGTGAACCCCACCTACGAGGGTGTTGGTAGCGTGACCCGGTGATCGTGACCTACTCCTCGGGTTTCTCCTCCTCCTCTTTCTTCTCTTTCACGAAAAATTTCTACTGATGCCCGTCTGGGGGTTTCAAGGCTCCCCTGGGTGAATTTAAACGGCAGATTTGTGTGACCTTGAGGGTTTTATCGGAGTGTGATATATGGATGGGGTGATCAGATCCCCAAAATGGAAATTACAGAGAAACCTATTTGTTGAGCAAAAAGCAGCCTTGGACTTGTTTTCTCTAAGCCAGGTGGAGAGAGAGGTCATCTGAGGACCTGCGGGTAAGGTCGGTAACTGACGGAGTAGTTTTGTTGGCGGTCAAGGTAGGCGGGAGTGCAATTCAAATCTGGACATGAAATCATGTGAAGTAGAATTTAATAAATGGCTGCTCTCATTTTGTCCCATGTGTTCTTTCTTCCTGTCCCTGTGTCCTCTGTCCTGCCTCACACCCTGTAGGGCACAAGTTCTCATTGGAGGTGTTTTTGGTCCCCAGAGGGCACTTGGCAATTTTTCTGTGATTACAACCAGGGGAGGGAATGTGACCACTGTCAGGGGATGCTGCTAAATGTCTACAGTGCACAGGATGTCCCCACCACAAAGGACGATCCAGCCCAAAATGTCAGCAGGGCTGAGGCTGAGACCCTGACCCAGACTCAGGAGTGAGCAGTGAGTGCTCAGGCAGCAGGCAGAGCATGGGCAAAGGCCCTGAGGCAGAATGGAGCTTGGCCAGGTCCACACACAGAAAAGCTGAGGGAGGGTGGAGGTGGGGGCTGGGGAACGGGGAAGTCAGGGTCCTGATGGGGGGACTTTGAGGGTGCCTGGGAGAACAGTGGGAGAGGAACTGTGGGACCCAAGTACAGTGCAAAAATCTGGGGCATAGGACTTCTGGCTCCATGGACAGGAAATGGCATGAACAATAGTTGGGATTCCAAGGAAACTCGGAGGAAGGGAGAAAATAAAGGGGGAAAGGACTGGGGGTCCTGAGAGGAGCCAATCAGGTGGGTGAACTCCCTCAATTTGGGAGAAGTAGAGTCTCTGGAGAGGGATTCGCAGAACTGGCCAATGCAGGATGAAGGAGATCCTGGGGGTGGAGAGGGGGGAACACTGAGAGAATCCTGGCCTGGACGTGTCTGCAGATTCTCGCGAGGTCCCAACCCAGCGCTTTCTGGGGGAAGTGGGACAAGGGTCAGGGCAGCAGTGATTTCCTCATTAGAACCACAGACATCAGGAGGGACCCAGGGAGGGGAGCCGTGGTTGGCGCTATCAGCTCTAAACACGTTGAGGGTTTTTAAGAGGATTCCAGTACACGCTGTGATCCCAGGGGCCCCGGAGGCTGAGGCAGGAGGATCTAGAGTTCCAAGCCAGCCTCAGCAATTTAGCGAGGCCCTAAGCAACTCAGTGAGACCCTGTCTCTAAATAAAATACAAAATAGGCTGGGGAAGTGTCTCAGTGGCCAAGCGCCCCCTGGGTTAAAAAAAAAAATTAATTCCAGCCGAGAAGGTGTGTGTGGGGGGGAGGCCTGGTGGTGTCTGAAGGCGTTTGGGAAGGGTGCCCACGCCATCCAGATGTCCACCCTCACCTGCAGGGGAGGACTCAGATGCTTGGGGTGATACAATGACACTCCAGAAACTTGAGAGTAAGAGGTCTTTCCTCCCAAAAGAGATGTTTATTTTTTGGAGCTCAAAGACCCCCAGAGGAAAGCCACACCCACCCCTAATACAGCAAGAGGCAGCGCCCCCACCCTCCACCATCCCAGGCCCAAGTAGGGAGGCTGCCCAGGAAGCAGCCCCGCTCCCACCCAGCTCTCGCCCTCCCCTCCCCCATTGCCCCAGGCCCTCCACAGCTGCCCCATGGCCCCTTCACTTTAACTCGTCCCCTCTCCCCTCAGCAACCAGCTGGGTCAAGGGACAGTCGCTGGGAAAAGCAGAGATGCAGCCGGACCAGTTCAGATTGGGGCCTAGGAGACATGATAAGAGAGACTCAGGATAGACTGAAGGCAGACAGCACAGAGCCCGCTGCCTCCTAAACCCCGCCCCTCCCTAAGCCCCGCCCCTCACGCCCCGCCCCCGCCCCTGAGTCCCCTCCCTCTCCTCCCGCAGCTCCTCTCTCCTCCGCGCGGTGAGGCCCGTCCCCCCCCATCCCTGGGAGTCCCTGCCCCCCTGCCAGCGCCCCCAGCTTCCTCCTCCCCAGGGCCGCCCAGGATCCTGACCCTCTGGCCTCCTGGGGCCTCAGAGCTGCAGAAAGGCGAGGCTCAGGCTCAGGAGCAGGAGCGGCGTGGACACCTGCAGAACGATGATGGCCTTGGAGCTGGCCGGGGTGGTCTGGGTGTTCTTCGTTCTAGGTGAAGACGGGGGACTCAGGCAGCCGCCGGGCCATCATGTTGCATGACAGCCCTGGCCACCCTCCCCACCGAGCCTCGTCCCCACCCCAGTCACTGGGCAGTAGCCACCTAGGGCTCTTGGACCCTACGGACAGAGTCTTCCTTTTCGAGGACTTGAACCTTACCCCACCCCCCACCTCAGAGGCAATGTGGATTTTTGGAGCTAAGCGGGTGGGGGCGGGGGGGGGGTGGAGGTGAGAGAAGCATGGCCCAGGGGGGCGGGGGTCTTTGACCTTGGTCGCTCCAGTTTTGTCAAAGTCTCCTGCAGCGTTTGGTTCAATTTGGTGAGCTCTCCTGGGGGGCCAGATAGAATGAGGGGGCATCAGCACGTGACCGTGCCCCTCACCCACCAGGCGCTGGGCACAGCCCCGCCCCTTCTCCAGCCGGGTCCTGGACGCCCTGCCCCGCCCCTCCAAGTCCCGTGTCCGCTTCTCACTCTCAAGTTCCCGCACTCGCGCCTGTAGCTGCAGCTCCTGGGCCTTCAGTTTCCCCTGGGACAGAACAGAGGGTCAGAAACCGGTTCTGAGCCGGGCGCCGGCCGCAGGCCTGTCATCCCAGCGGCTCAGGAGGCCGAGACAGGAGGATCCTGAGTTCAAAGCCAGCCTCAGCGACTTAGTGAGGCTCTAAGCCACTCAGTGAGACCCTGTCTCTAGATAAAATACAAAAAAAAAAAGGGCTGGGGACGTGGCTCAGTGGTGAAGGGCCCCTGGGTTCAATCCCTGGTACCAAACAATCAAAAAAGAGTTCTGGCTTTGCAGTGGCTTGTCGCTATCCTGGGCATGAAGCCCCAGTTCCTGCTGCCACAGGGCTTCCCTCTAAACTCCTTTCACATTCCCTGACAACCTCTCTGCACCTCAGGTTCCAACCTCCAAGAATGGCCACCAGCCTGCACCCCCACAGGGACACCCATAAATGTGGGCTCCTTTAGATAGGGGTTTTCAACATGGGAATTGGGAGGCTCTCTGTGTCCAAACCCTAGCAGAAATTTCCAGATCCTCTACCTTATCACCCAAGAAGATTTAGCAGATTCTTGTCAAACTCAGAACACGCCGTGATTTCCCAACTCAGACGTTCAGGGTCTCAGTGAAAATTTCAGATTCAGTAAAAATTTCCAGAGCCCCTTCTTCAAGGCCTGGTGAAGCCATGTCCAGCCCTGAGTGGGGGTTTCTGTTTCCTGAAGACCGGGACCCACTGAGAATTTAAGCTTCCCCACCCCCGGGCCCTGGAAAACAGTCTGCAGATTCCTTCAACTCCTGCCCGGAATACCCAGGTCCCTGATGTGGGGGCTGCTGAAAGTTTTAAGGACTCACTCACACCAGTGCCCTGGGAAGAATTTGGTCCCTAAATCCTGGTGGGGAAATCCAGACCTTCCTATTGTGGGGGACCAGGGACAGATTCCCAGCTTCCCCTCTCCCGGGGTCCTGTGGGGCCCCAGCCCTCCCTAGGGTGCCGGTGGCTTACCACAGACTGGTTACAGGTGTCAGCTCGGGTCTCGGCCGCCAGGCTCTCCTCCTTGGCTTGGATCAGCTGCTTCTTCAGGAGCTGGGTGACATTCTGGCACTGCCTCTCCAGCTCCAGACCATTCTGGCAGGCTTCACTGTAATATTTGACCATGAAAATGGACAGGGCGATGATCAGGCCCGCCATGACGAAGCCCACCATCAACCACAGCCAGCTCCTTCGAGGGCCACCCTCCTTCATTTGCTCATCCAAGGGCACTGGCAAGTAGTGGCAAAAAGAGGGTGCCATCCCCATTTCCCTAAGATGTAAGGGGTTTGGACAGAGGCTCGAGCCCTGGAATCTTCTAGAGACCGCCCCCTTATTAGCATAGGGGAGTTCCTAATAGCCAAGTTCCAGGAAGTCCCCTGCCTGAGCAAGCTTCAAAACATTCAGGTTTTGGTTTCAGTTTCCCAGAAGAGAGATAGGTTTTATTTTTCCTGAATTTTCATCCTCCTCAGCTGGATGCTGGCCAGTGAGATCCCCTAGGAGGGAACTGGGAGCCGATGGGACAGCCATGTGTTGTCCCTGCCCTCTCCTGCACCCAGGCCTCCTCTATCCCTGTACCCTGACCTCAGAGGCATGGTCCGGCCACCCCTGCTGGGCCACCCCCCAGTCGGGGAAGCCGAGGCCGCCAGGTTGAGGAGTCAACAGGGGCTAGGGCTTGGTTGGAACCTTTGAGGTGGGCCCAACAGGCCTGATTTTGTGTTCGGGGGGTCTCCGGGGGTGACCCAGCAGCACCTTAGGGGGACCTGGGAGTCCGAGAGGGTGCTGGGCTGGAACCAGCAGGAAGCTGGGAACCTGGAGAGGAGGAGGTGGCTCAGACCACAGTGCCCCATTCGTCACCCAGCAGCAAACCAGGTACCCCCACCCCACCCCACCCCCTGCCTCTGTCCTGCTTCTAGAATCTGCGCCTGCAACTTGGACAGGCCCAGCGAGAGCTCTGCTTGCTTCTCCATATCGTGAGGTAGGAACAGGACTGGCTTCTCAGTGTCTAGCAGGGGCCTCCTGGAGGGGCAGACCACCCACCAGGCCTGCTGCTCCGGGCAGGTGGCCAGGGGTGGGGAGCATATTCTGAAGAAAGGTGCCAGGTACCATTTGCAACCTGCTGATCACAAAAGGCCAGAAGGGTCATCCAGGGGACAGGCCCAGGAGGAGCTGGACCCTAGGGTGGGGCACTGGGAGGGAGATCTCAGTCTCTGGGGGAAATGGGCCTGGTTACAGACTGCCAGGTGCTGGATGTGACAGCCAGGGGTAGCAGGGGTTGTATGTTCTTCTGGTGACTTCTTCAGCTACAGCCTGGCCACAGCCCAGACTCCATTGAGGCAGCCGTTCTGAGTGTTTGTGTCCAGCTGGGCCAGACGGCATAGGGGGGCCAAGGCCAGTGTCCCAGGCCTCCACGAGAGCTGGTCTAAGGGCCCCAGCCGGGCACACACACGTCCCTCTCCCTAGATCCCACCCCCCCCCCCAAGCCACATAGCAGCCAATGTACCAGGGGTGGGGAGATCTTGCTAAAAAGGCCCAGGGGGACTTGTGTGTCCCATGAGGAGGGCCTGACACCCTGGCCAGGACCCCAGGTGCAGAGCCACCGCCCTTGCCAACCGCTATTCTGGCTTCAAACATGGCGGGCAGTTTGGGACCAGGTCGGAGGCCACAGTGCAGGTCAGAGGCCAGGTGTGATGTTATGAATTCATGGTCTTTCTCCCAATTTCCTGGCATTCAGTCCCTAAGACCCTGGGCAGGCATCTTGCGTGCTAGTGAGGTGACTGGTGACCAGCAGCCCCTAGATAGCTTCTGGTGGGGACTAGTCACCAGAAAGACTAGGGCAGGATAGAGAGTTGGAACTTTGAGCCCTACTCCCACCCTCCAGAGGGGGGAAGGAGTGGAGCCCGAGTCTATCTCCCTTGGCAGAGGCTGTAATCCTTTAGGCCTGTGTCAGCTCAAAGGGACAGGGTTCTGGTGTTTGGGGACAGACAGGTGTGAATGGAGGGAACATGAGGCTCACAGAATAATTCTATAAAATGGGCCCACTGGGCCGACCCCCACATGCTTTCTTTTCTAAGAAGCAGATTACCCGGAGCCCTGCCTGGCTTCAGGCGACAGGAGATGTCACATTCCTCAGCAAACTACCTGTTATCTGCAGGGGAAATGCAGGCCCCAAAAAACGTTAAAAAGAGGAACCCAAGTTACCCTGAAGGGGGAGATGTTTGTGACCCTTTCACAGACCATGTCCGGAAACTCAGGGAGATAAGCATAATATTTCCTAACCACAAAATCTGTGAGAATTCGTGGCTAAGAGCCCAATTAGAGCCCGAAGTGGTGGCATATATCTGTAATCCCAGCGGTCCGGGAGGCTGAGACCAGAGGCTCGGAAACCAAAGCCAGCCTCAGCAATTTAGCAAGGCCCTAAGCAACTCAGTGAGACCCTGTCTCTAAATAAAATACAAAAAAAGGGCTGGGGATGGGGCTCAGTGGTTTAGCACCCCTGGGTTCAATTCCTGGTACAAAAAAAAAAGAAAAGAAAGAAACTGATAAAGAGTCAAAAATAGGAGAAAAGTGTGCGCTCTGCCCATCTACTGTATCCTCCGGGGTAGTTAGTGTCATCCCAAGGTGATGGGGGGCTCAGGTGCCCTATGTCTGTTAGGAGTTGGGGGCGGGAAGAACAGTGAGTGTAGACAATTTGGAGGGGTCATGGGTGGTTTTACGGGGATCTTAATGTTCCTGGAAGCAGGACAAAGCCCACATGGCTTGCAGAGTGGACCGTGGTGGTTTGTAAATGATTTTCTTTGGGACCCACAGAGGACAATGGTGTGGTGACAGGGGTCCAGGTGTGTGGGCAGACATCACGCAGCCTCCTTCCTGCCGTAGGAGTTCACGATGAGTTAAATAATTCACCAGTTAATTATTTCCGTAATGCTGAGGATGGGACCCAGGCCCGTGCGCATTCTAGACAAGTGCTCTGCCACTGAGCTACACTCACACCGGCAGGTAACTGGGAATTGAACTCAGGGGTTTTACCATTGAGCTACATCCTCAGTCCTTTTTATTTTTTATTTTGAGAGAGTGTCTAGGTTGCTTAGGGTCTCGCTGAGTTGCTGAGGCTGGCCTCAAGCCTGTGATCCTCCTGGCTCAGCCTCCCACATTGCTGGGACTACAGGCGTGTGCCACCATGCCCAGCTTGGTTCCTTTAATTTAACATCACCAGCATCCCTGGGGGGGGCCTCTCATGGGGCCACATGGAAGCTCTGCTTCACATAACTAGCTCTATGCATCTCTTGGTCTGAATCCTTTGCAAAATGATTCAGAAGAAACCGGTAAGGGGCTGGGGCTTTTGAGAAACAGAGGCAGCCCTGAAAAACAGACCCCAGATTCCTAAGCACTAAAACTGACCCCCTCACTGACTGATAGAACAAGCTCCAAATCCCCGGGTGCCCGAAGAAAACTGATGTGCTCCCTAGACCCCCTCTCAGGACAACCTGTGTAAGCCCAGGTCCTTTCTTTGTTCAGGGGCTTATTTTCCACCAGGAAAGTGGGTCCCACCACAGCGTCATTTCGTCCCTGTATCCCCTCTCCGGTGTGAAACTTCCTTCCTGAATAAAGTGCTGAGCTGATTTGTGAAGTTTGTGTTCATCCTGGTCTTTTTGCGCTAATACAACTCAGAGGATGAAAAGTTTGTTTGTTTGTTTATTTATTTAAAATTCTAATTTGTTATATATGACGGCAGAACGTATTAAGATTAATAGTACACATATAGAGCACAATGTTTCTTATCCCTGGTTGTATACAATGTATATGCACACCATTGGTGTCTTCATACTCGTACTTAGGGTAATGATGTCCATCTCATTCCACCGACTTTCCTACCCCTCTGCGCCCTCCCTTCCCCTCCCACTCCTCTGCCCTATCTAGAGTCTCTTCCTCCCATGCTCCCCCTCCCTACCCCACTATGAATCAGCCTCCTTATAGCAGAGAAACCATTCAGCATTTGGTTTCTTGGGGTTGGCTAACTTCACTTAGCATTATACTCTCCAACTCCATCCATTTACCTACAAATGCCATGATTTTATCCTCTTGTATTGCTGAGTAATGTTCCATTGTGTATAATTTACCACCTTTTCTTTATCCATTCAGCTGTTGAAGGGCATCTAGGTTGGTTCCACAGTTTAGCTACTGTGAATTGTGCTGCTCTAAGCATTGATGTGACTATGTCCCTGTCGTATGCTGTTTTTAAGTCCTCTGGGTATAGACCGAGGAGAGGGTCAGCTGAGTCAAATAGTGGTTTCAATCCCAGATTTCCAAGGAATCTCTACACTGCTTTCCATAGTGGCTGCACCAATTTGCAGTCCCACCAGCAATGTATGAGTGTGCCTTTCCCCCCACATCCTCACCAACACTTATTGTTCTTTGTCTGCATAATGGCTGCCATTCTGACTGGAGTGAGATGGTATCTTAGAGTAGTTTTGATTTGCATTTCTCTAATTGCTAGAGATGATGAGCATTTTTTCATATATTTGTTGATTGATTGTATATCCTCTTCTGAGAAGTGTCTGTTCAGATCCTTGGCCCATTTATTGACTGGGTTATTTTATTTTATTTGGTGTTTAGCTTTTTGAGTTCTCTATATACCCTAGAGATGAGTGCTCTATCTGATGTGTGGGAGTAAAAATTTGCTCCCAGGATGTAGGCTCTCTGTTCACCTCACAGATTCTTTCTTTTGCTGAGAAGAAACTTCTTAGTTTAAATCCATCCCATTTATTAAAGGAAAAGTTTATTTTGCGCTGGTGGCTCCAGAGGTTCAGTCCGTGGGCCACGCTGAGGCAGACCAGCATGGCAGAGGGCGTGGCAGGGGGCAGCTGCTGGGGTCCTGGCCACAGGGGCGAAGAGAGAGACAGGGAGGGAGCAGAGACAGAATACGACCCCAAGGCACGCCCCAGGGACCCGCTTCCTCCAGTCGCACTCTGCCTGCCTTCAGTTACCACCCAGGAATCCATGTGGATTATTAATCCACCAAGTGGATTAATCCAGCCATGAGGTTCCAGCTCCCACAGGAGGACGGCCCTTTAGGGGAGCATCCTCAGTTCCTGTCTGAGGGTAACTGCTCCCACATAGTGGGGTGATCTTGTCACTGGGTGACCTTGTCCTGGGGAGGTCAGTCTATGAGGCATTGCTGCTCTTGGCACCCAGGTGACTGCAGGGTTAGGGCAATGGCTGGAAGTTTCTAGAAACCACTCCATGGGTCCAGGACAGTCCCTTTCCCTCTCAGTCACTCATTCTTTTTAAATTTTTTTAAAAAATATTTTTTAGATGTAGTTGG